GAACTAGTTTGAACAGGTATTCTAAAAACAAAAAATAAATGCTGCATCAGACAGACCTATCTACTGCTGATGTGGACAGACTGTAGCATAGACATCCAATAGTTCCTGAAATCCGACAACTCACCACAGTTAAAAATACATTGTTGTTTACAGGATGTCATTTTGGATTTGCCATTGGAAAATGAAATCTATTGACCATCAAAACATTTTTATCAGAATTTCAAAACCATCCTGAAGCTTCCCAGAGTTGGATATCTCTATGCTCTTGCCTACTGTTTCACTGCTATTCACTACACAATGGTAAGAATGGACTTTGGTTACAACAGAACACATTACTGACAGAGGTAATGTTAGGATTTAAAGCACCAAATACACCAACGATTCAGATATAAGGTTTATTTTCTACATACATGCAGCTGTCAAGCTGTCTGAAGCAACATTCTGGATATAATTCACTGAAATGTTGCCACTGTATTGACCTCATGACCCCAGTCTTTTTCTTTAATCAAGACCCATATATTTACCCACTGTCGCCAGTGAATGACAGACTAATTAACCCTTTGCTTGGGCAGTGCTTGCCTAGTTCAAACTTTTATATCACTTCATGATCTTTGATATTTGCACTGGAATCAAGCAATCGGAATACACACGAGGAAGGAAACGTGTGGCGATGCACTGGGTAGGGGCCTAGCGTCAATCAGAGCGGGGGATCGGCAGGCTAGGGCTGCGTAAACACAGAAGCGATACGATTCCGGGGAGATGAGAGCCATGAGTATTACAACTTTCACCTGTTTGCAATATTCGATACAATATTTACTTCTCTGATCAGCGGGGATTGCGTCCACCCAAAATAGGAATCTTAGAATGGAACACGGCGAGAAGATGATAGCATCAGGGCAAGAGCGAGAGAGAGAGAGGGGAGCAAGAGGAGAAGGATGAAACAAGGAGAGAGAGAGAGAGAGAGAGAAAGGGGGGGGGGGAGATGTAAGAGAAGAGAAACCAAAACAACACAGGAAAAAAATACAATAGAAAAGCATGAAGGTTAAGGAGACAGAAAAAACAAAAAACTAAACAAACTAAAAGAGGGCAGAAAGATAATAAATTCAAAATAATTTATGTAACGATACAAAAGTACTTGGAATACGTAAATGCAGGTTATAATATGTTCGGCGATAGGAAGAGCAAGATTAGTTTTTAATGAAAACCAAATGAATTAGTGATGGAACTTGACCCAACTTTCAAGGTCTTGAATCTTAAATTACTCAGTGATTAGGTAGGGAAATCTAATATATGCTGCAAGTGATACTACAAGAACGCAGGAAGTTCATAGCCCTTCTAAGATGCATTTAATTAGAAATACATGTAGTTCTTCCATTTCAAATAGCTGTTCCATGTCAAATTAAAGGATATAATCATGGAGTTGAATTTTTCAAATAAAGTCTTTTTAAAGATTTGAAAGCAATAAAATAATGTGAATTTCAAGCATTTATACCAAACTTGCAATATTTTTCTTTTAAAACTCTTCTTCAAAAACATATGGCTAATATATGACCAAGGATTTTTATCTCATGATTAATGCAGAAATGAGGAAATGCTTTGTCACAAATTACCTTGTGCCACAGTTCTTGAAAAGATAAAGACCTTGCTCTGTTTTAAGCCCAGGTTATAAATGACAATTTGTTGTTCTTCTAGAAGACTATCATGCACAAGGCTACAACTTCCACAGACCTAGCAGGGATAAATAATTCCATAATTATATTCTCATAAACCCATTTTCATTGAGGATGTTATATTTGAATCATAACTGACCAGGTGTCTTGACATCCTCCCTGACCCAGCTTCTATTCTTCTTGCTTTTCCTCCTTCTGCCTATTAAAAAAGAAACTGCACACTTCCATCTCAATGTCAATGTTCTTTTTCTTGACACTGACCCATCCCCAAAATTAAAAAATAGTGAGAAATCATCCAATGTAAAGAAAAATAGGGAGACGGTGTCTCTTCTGTGTAGCGTATCATATGTGTAGGCCTATATACGTCATATGATGTGATGCAGAAGATATGCAGAAGGAGCCGAGGTTTGGATGTGTTAAAGGCCTCAAGGGTGAAATAGAGAAGAAGTAAAAAAAAAAGTGCACTTTGGGATTAAGGACCAGAGGAGATTTGAATAAACACTCATCGAGTCAGAAGAGAAGGCCTAAGGAGAGGGGCAAACAGAGCGGGATAGGGGGGAAATGGTGAGATTGAAAAAGGGAGAGATAGTAAAGATTAAGTGACAGATAGCATAAAATAAAGCAAGGAAAGCAGGAACTGAAATGGGAAGAACCAAGCCAGTAGAAGGAGACATACGTAGGAGATGAAATTGACATGATGTTTAATTTGTGAACTTTTCTTTCCATCTTAAGATTGTTACCAAACTTAGAGTTTTACTTCTTACTTTAAATTTTCTTTTGTATTGGAATAGTCACTATCCAGTGGAGTCGATACAAAATGCCAATATTGCCCGAAAGATTTATCATATGCTCCTCATCCTCATTTTTCTGTTATATTTCAGGAGTTGCAAGCAATGAACTATACAGCAAGAATGTTGATACAGAAAGCAGGGTAATAACACATTTTGCATTTGCAACGAACCAGACCTCAACCATATGACAAAGATCAAAGTACATAGCCATATATAGATCAAAGACATATACCCACTTTTAAGAATATATGTATTTGTTAGACGAGGAAGAGAAAAGTCATGTAGCTCATATTTGATATGGCAAGCAGACAATAAGAGTGCCTTGATGAAAAAAGTGCTGCCATCATTCTTGCATCAAAATGCATGATGTATACGAGATAATCTAGCTCAGCACCCCCCCCCCCCCCTCCTTCCTCCCAATCTAGGAAAAAATAGAAGAGGAGGAGGGAATATCTTGAGATTGTGACAAGATGATGCGGAGAATGCTGAAAGAAGCCGAATTGTGCATGGAATTCACATCGGAGTAGATTGCAGTATAGTGTAATGACTTTGACACCCCGTCATCAAAACCTCCGAGAGAAAATAGATAAAATGCTAATTAAACAAGGAAGTCAGGTATGAAATGATGTAGCAGTACGCATGTCAGGTGTACTTTGATCAAGGTTTTCTCTTATTTGTTTAGCGAGTCTACAACCCTGGAGTGTCACAAAAAATGATGGAAATTGCTTTCTACTCTTTAGAGAAGTGTCTAAATTGTCTTGCACTTTTCTACAGCTAATAAGTTGTACCTAAGTGGAAAGAAATTTATTGCCATTGAAAATAACATTTGTATTTATTGAGAGTATAATTTGATCAATTACAAGTGCACTCATGTTTGTCTGGAAATTCCCCAAGGCATCAATTTAATCACCAAATTTCAGATATTCTTTATTCAATGGTATCCTACATGAGGCAAATACCTCAGTCTGAGCTCCATCGCCATGAATACTTGAATTAAGATTAGCATTGTCCGTGATCATAATTTTTGAGATGTTTCACCTACCGTAGATGAATTTGTACTACAATAAAGGTCAAAAAGAATAATGTGATAAATCAACAAGATGATTTCTTTATTGGAGGTGTAATTGTTGTTTTTCACACTCCCATAAAGGTCAAGATTAAATAAATCAAATAACTTGATAGATCAACGAGATCATTCCTTCATTGGAAGTGTAACTGTTTTTAATTATCAGGAAGTCAATTAGGGTGTGGACAACAATAGCAATCTTCAAGCAAAGATATGAAGGCTCGAGAGCTTTGATCAATGTGTAGAGGGATATTCTGCCATTTTGAAAGCTCCAGAATCATCAATGTTGTGGCAAGTTCTGGAATTCTCTGCGATTGGAAAATAAGTTCTAGTGGACTAAAATTGGTAAAGCAGATGCTATATATTATCACCAACAAACCAACCTTAAGTGCATACTGTATCTTTGTACACAACTTTGTGATCATCATTGGATCAGAGTGAGACTTTTATGACCTTTAGTTAGATATAACACTTCTTCTTTGACTGCGTGACAACAATTGCTGATTGCATGCTAGAGAAAATCAAAGAAGAAACCCTGAAACATTCTTCTTTTCTTTTTCAATCACATCTTGATTGCTTGTTATCCAACAAGATGACCTTTACAAAATGACACTTACATCCTGCAAGAAACTAACAAACATGAGACATACAACCACAGGCGCGACCAGGTTTGTCAAATTGTTAGAGCCTTTCCATCCCTCTCCTGCTCAATGTGAGCATTATTGGTCAAGCTTGAGCGACTCGATGAAAGATGGACTTCCCGTCTTAATTCTCTACATTTCCGCTCTCTCTCTCTCTCTTTTTTTGCCATGGTGATGTCCTATATTCATGCTACTCTGAACACGACTGACTGCCCAGACTGCTGGCCTGGCTGCGCCTGCCTACCTGCCTGTCAGAGACAAGTTCAAGGTCTCGCTTCCTCCGTACATATAGGAGGCCAGCAGCAGGGCTTGGAATGACTTTATCCATGCTGTCCTACTTCCTCTGCAGTCTGAAGAGCATGGGAGGGGGTGCTTCCCATTATGGAACAGATGTATGGGAAATGGAATTACAATTCCTCAGGGATGATAATGAAAGTACTTTAGGTTTTTATTGGAAAAAAAGTTTCCAACAAATTCACTAAGAGATCATAATTATGAGCTTTTTGATCATTTCATAAGGTTCAGTTAAAGTTGAATTAGTATTGCACTATAATTCTGATTTTCTAAATTATATGGCTGGTTTGATTCCCCCCTCACAAAGCCCAAATATATAAATATTTATTGTTATCAATACTATTGTCATAAAGATTTGTGAGAATGGTGCCAAAGAGTACTTCCAAGGAGTGAACATTCACAGACATCATATTCCAAACAACTAGGACTGTTTCTAACCTGATCTTTCCTGTGATTAAAAAAAAATCATAACATATGTTGAACACAAAAACTAATTAAAATGACTGCAGGAACTTTCCAGCACTGTTTTGAATCTCACCTCACTTATAAAGATACCAGAATCTTCTTCTGAGCCGTAACACAGCGTCAGTCCTAGCTTCTCCTCCGTATTAGAACGCTTCAAAACAATATCCTGTCAAAGAAAAGAGAGAGAAAATGATAAATAAGAATGTAGAAACCACAATATACCTGTACCTACTTTTAGCAAATATGCTCTTAAAAATAGTCAACCATTCTATTCATGAATAACTATAGATAATATGCGACTTTATATGATTCCAAGCCTTTTGGACATTCAGAAAATGGTTTGGAAATTGTGTGTTATGATAACTTTACAACTTACACTTATTCTTATTCTCTAAAATTCCAGCAATTTCAGTTCTCCAGTTTACTCTATTCCCTTTGACATTTCATAATTTTCCAAATCAAAAGTCTAGTGACGTTTCTCATGAAACATCAACTCTTTTCCTGCTAAATTCCTTCTCCTTTTGAAAGCAATCATGCAATTTCATAACCCACAGGAAATTACAATTCACTCATAAGCACTGAACTCATCCATCAACTAATTGTTAGAGATTGACACAACACAAATTTAGGTACAAATATTTCCATGCATCATTGCAAACATGATATTTCGTGCAGGAGATATATAAGTTCTGTTCAAAGCAATTATGGAGCAAAAGTGTCAGACTCACTGGATTGCTTGTAATATCTTTAATAATAATAATAATAATAGCTCACATTTATAATGCACCTAATACTTTGTTTCTAGGCGCAGCACATATTATTACCCCAGTCATCGGATTCAGGCTTTCCTGCAACACAATGTATACACATTTTCCACTCCCTGGGGAGCATTCCAGCCTGTCGCCATTTTACAAGGTAATTCAACCACATTAACTTTCGCATCCTACTGGGTACCCATTTAACACCTGGGTGGAGAGTGGCAAATGTATATCAATGTCTTGCCAAAGGACATTAGTGCCGTGGCGGGACTTGAACCGCTGACCTTGTGATCCACAGTCCGGTGACATATCCATTCGACCACGACACCTCTACTAATAAGCTTTATCCTCATCATTTCATTATTGTTGGTTGTTTCATGCTTTTTTAAAGAGTTCATTAATAAAATAATATAAGCAGAACAATACAAACAGTTGCAAAATTGAAATGAGTATCCAAGTTTGTTACCAAGGTGATGATTGAGACTACAAACAAATCTTCAAATCCTCCCCAAATCCCCAGATTGAAAGAGGATTCTATGCCCTTAGCTCCCAAAGAATCCTGGCTTTCTATTCTTTTCAATCACCACCTACGCTCTTCTGTGTGAAGTTGGATCACAAAAGACCAGCATTAGGATCGGATTAATAATCCAAAAGATGTATTTTTGCTCTAAATCTGACAATTGATATATACTTCTAGATGGTAAAATATTATCTTGGGAACGTAAAGCAATTTTGATCTGGCAGCTTTTAGAAGATCTCGGTGAAGAGTATTAAAAATCCCTTGCAGTTTTATTTTCTTTGATATAAGAAATAGCTCTTGATATACCTCCATTCCTCAACAAATATTTTTAATAGCATTTGTGCGAATCAAAAATGTATATATGCACAATAATATTAATAATAATAATCTGTGATGAAACTGAGCACTTAAAAAAGATGGTAATGATAGTAATGTACAGTAAAAGCCATAAAGCCATTTCCACTGAGAAAACTTGTCATATAATGAATTCTTCCAAACTAAATATAGAATTCACTCCTTTATTTTTTGGATCAAATATTCAACTATTTGAGCAAATCTCTTTTTAACCCATCTAGCCAATCGATAAGCACTAGCATATAACCACTCAGACATTAAAACCTACACTCGTCTCAAGCTACCTACACTTGTTTCATTTAGGCTACCTAGATTCAATGTTCTTATGCAGCTTTCATCCTTCTTAACCTTAATCCTTTGGTTTGTGGGTCAGCTAAGGGATCCACCTGCCCGCTTATCTGATCAATATATGACTGCATGCCATATCCCTCTTCTTCTCTCCCCTCTCCCTCTCCCTCTCTCCCCTCTCCTCCTCTCCCCCTCTCCCTCTCCTCCTCTCCCCCTCTCCCCTATCACTCTCCTCCTCTCCCCTATCCCTCTCCTCTGGACTCTCACATCCAATGTCAATACAAACACTTTACAAGAGCAAAACAGTGGTATATCCATTTTCACTTTCTTTTCACTAATGTATAATACAAATATTAATCTTACTTCAACAGAAGCAGAAGGTTCTTATCATGTGAAGGCATGATAATATTAAGTTATCAAAGAAGTCTGCAATGCTTTGAATCTAGTTTTAGAAAGGAATAATACTTTTGCCTTCTCCGACAAAGATATAACTCTGCTGATGAAGGATATCTGTAAACCCGTTTGCATAAAACTGAACAGATAATAGGAATCAGTTTACAAACCTATTTGATTAAAAATTGACACCTTATATCATTTTCCTGATTAATGATACTTTCCAGGCCATATCATGTGACACTATGAATTACCTTATCTGCTTAGATAAATGGCTTGCAAATAGCAACAACAATAGACATTGCAAATACGTATTCAAACAATTCTAGTTGTTGATAGATTATATTTTGCATACCTCACATAACTTAATATATCATGGAAGCTGCACACTGATATGCAAGTCCACTTCAATATTGGAAAAAGAAGACAGGAGCACTTGCACTGTGCAAATATGACTATTGTGCTCAACATGAAACATTAACAATAAGAACAACTTTTGCTACAGAGAGATAAAGAAAGGGGGAGAAGAAGAGAGGTAGAGAGAGAGTGAGATGGAGAGAGGGAGATGGAGTGGGAGAGAGGGAGGGGGAGAGAGGGAGGGAGAGAGGGAGGGAGGGGGAAAGAGGGAGGGGAGAGGGGGACAGAGACAGAGAGAGAGAGAGAGAGAGAGAGAGAGAGAGAGAGAGATGGGGGTTGAGGAGTGGCTCGCTGCATTGATTTTAACCACGAACACCTTCTTGCTTACTTAGAAATCCAATATACTTGTGTTATTTATCCCTTGCTTTTCATCTCAGCTCTAACCTCTGTCCACACGGGATGAAAGACAACTCCAAGATATTAAACGGAGGACAATTTCATAGAAACGTGGATCAGAGGCAGAGCTATAAGGAAAATCAAGGGGGTATTTCGTTAGGGATTCAGAAAGGATCATAGGCAGTGGGCAATCACATGGATAGCTAAGTTACTCTGTATCTTTATCTTGATATAGATACACAGAAGTTCAAAAACAGGGAGGAATAAAGTGGAGGGATCGACAGAGGGTGTTAGCAAGCGAGGAACTACATATATATAGTTATACAGTTCACAAGAAAAAGAGAAACACTCAAAGAGATTGGCAGAGAGAGAGAGAGAAAAGACAGAGACAGACAGAAGGAATATTTAAATATAAGAAAACAGTATGTCACATGGACAAGTTCATACACATTCTACATTTTCATAAATCATCCATTTCATTCCTGGCTGTTAAAACTATGTATATTGATCTACAAAAAGCATGAGCAATCTTTAAACTCTTCTATATTTTCTATCTTGATATCGACTCGACTCTCAAGGTATTTTAACCACCGGGGGAGTTCCAATAAAAGACAGTATGGCATCTTTTTTTATGATGAGCGGTGTGTGTTAACAGCGAGTCTATGGGATTTGAAAGTGATTGCAAAATGGTTTTATTGATTGTTTAAATGATGCAGCACTTAGTCTAGACTGTCAGGAGTACCAGACTAGGGGGACCAGGATTTCACTCCAGCGGCCCTGTGATGTGGTAATGAGTCTCATTATCCCATAAATAGATCACAGAGTGCACCCATTATGGTTCATTTTAAAGGGGCCTTTTAGCTCCATCATGGGAGCCATTCATCCTTTATAGCCACTTTGTAGAGTGATGCGCTCCTTTAGAGAACATATTTAACGAGCGTGAACATTTATCACAAAAATTGGCAATACTGATACATAAAAAAGGACATTTCAATGACTTAAATAAACCTTGCTATGATTTATTGGAATACGGTACGATCACTTTCAAATATTGGATTCCTTGGCTGAACAATTCTTATGCTCAGATCAACTGATAAGGCAGCAATTCACAATACAGATGGGGTCACTAGAAAACTAGTTAGTTTTACTTTCCACTCTTAAGAACCCAATTTAATTGTACATTCTCAACACTTAGTAAAACAAAAATTAGAATTCTAACTGAGAGGTTAGTATGTTCATAAGAGACTTTTACATCTATACTCACACTCTAAACACAGTGACTCAGACACCCATGCCTTGGTATTTTCTTCCTAGGCTCATGCTTGTGGACTTCCACATTTCCCTTAAATACAAGTACACATCATCATGTACAAGAAAGGATAAACATAGGAGGATGTGATTAGAAAGGAGAAAGAAGAGAATCGTTGATGAGAATGAACATACCTCATACTCCATCTCATAAGCCCGATCTAGACAGTCCTCCTCATCAAGTATGGGTAGGTCCAGGTTCCCTTCCATGGCCTCTAACTTCTGGAGTAGTTCAGAGTCCAAGACTGAGAGAGGGTCCTCCGCATCCAGGTCACATAATCTGCATTCAACAAAGAATATAGAAAATAAATCATCCAAACTGCTGTCTAAGGTAGATAGCAATGTAGCAAGCTTTTGAATGGGAGAAAGGGTTTGAGACATAGTACTGCAGTTAATTAGATGATAGAATCAATACATTAACCTCTAGATACTCAAAGAAAATAGAAAATATATCATCCAAACTGCTGTCTAAGGTAGATAGCAATGTAGCAAAGCTTTCAAATAGGAGAAATAGTCTGAGAAATAGTACTGTAATTAATTAGATGATAGAATCAATACATTGACCTCAAGATACTCATTGTTACATAAACCAATTAAGTATGTATCCTATTACATATATTACATTCTTGAATTCCATTCCATATTTTACAAACTCAATCCTGAAATCTAATATCCAGAAGTTACATTATGTACCTGTTCTACTCTAAAGGCTATTATCATGTACACCAATCAGAGAGTTTCGATACATTCTTAATTTGGATGCTATCTATGGTGAGTTCACCCTTAGTTCAAGCAAGTAATTGCTCCATGCATGTCCCTCTTCTTTCGGTGCTCCGCAAGTCGAAGATACACAACGCCCTCTATCAATAGATAGATCTGGATATGCCACCAGTGTGTTTTCCAAAGTATGTGACCATTACCACCATCTAATGAGACCGGCTCTCATGTTCTGTTATGAGCATCACGTGTGATTGTGTGATTGCAATGAATGGCAAACATCCTGGTAATCATTATCTGGGAATTTCTCCTCCTCTTGGTAGAACCATCTTAAGATGGGGGTGTGGAGATGAGGAAGAATGTATAGTACAGCGTGAGGAGAATCAAAGATGGAATGGGACTATCTACATTGGACAAGAGAGCAGGTTAAACCAACCAGCTTTAAAGGATTTGGGTAACTTTGTCTCAGAGTCTGAAACAAAATCCTAGATTTAGCTCATGCTGCAATGATATTTATAAACCTTTAGGTCAGTCAGGAACCCCATGACTTTCACAAGCCGATCGCCTGTCTGATGATCAAGATATTTATGATTGGAAATCGAAATCAAATTTTGCGTTTTCTTAACGGTTTTCATAACACTGCAGTCTATTGGAGAAAACGAGTAGGAATGGTAAAACCGGTCACTCAAAGATTTTTACTTTTTTGAGGCACTTCTTGATCATTTTGGAGCGCAATATTTTTAGGGCTTTAATAATACATCATATCACAGACACTGATAACACGTAGGGCCGTGCATCTCCGATTTAACATTGTTAAACGATCCCTTTAAAATCTAGAAGTAAGGAGGTAGAGATGTGACATTAGAAAATCGATGAAGAATGTAAGCAAAAGGAGAGGCAGACCTGTGAACATAACAAACAGAAAAGCAAGTGTGTGGGGCTTTATAAAAAGAAAAAGACATGGTTGATGCTCTAGAGGATGAAATGTGTAAAATACAAAGTGCTTTTCAGGAAAACTTCAAGGGCTACAAATACTGCGAGGGGCTAAAAAGACAGTGGAACAGACATAACTAGTGGAAATGGCAGAAGAAAATACAAGCTGAACATCACGAGAGGAGCAAAGAAATGTACATTGGAGACGGAATGGGGAGAGTGTGCCCAAGAGAGACATTGCGAACACACTAGAAACATAGATAAGACTTTCCCCGCAATTCAATAACAACTTGGCATCCAGTCAAAGAGGTGCAAAAATAGACATCAGTCAGGATCAAACCATGGAGATAAAAGACAGTGTATTTCATTTCATAATCCCACATCATAGGAGCCTTTGAACAGGAAATCCATCCTCTACCCAGGCTCGTGGGCACAGCAAAAGATGAATGATGATGCCAAGATAATCTTTCCACCCACATCCAGAGCGAGCGTTCAAAGAATAGAAAGGAAAAGCGAGGATGATTCAAAACTAGAACATTACCAGGAGTCGAAGAGAGCTCAGAGGGAGAAATAAAATAGCTAGTAATAGAAGTCTCTGACACATAAATACTGATGCTGTACAATAGTATGTAGGCCCTACATTTTTTACATGGCCCTTTCTTGAGAGTGACTATAAAAACTGTTCTACAAACATATATGCAAAATTGTGGAGAATGATGTTATCAACTAAACAGAAAATGTATCAGTATGTTATTTTTACATAGGCTAGCTTGCAATAAACTTCTTTCAAAATCTTGAGAGGATTATAGTTATACAAAATGTCATTAACAGAGCACTTTTGTTGCATTTGCTTCATTTGTGTTTTCAACACGACACACAAATCCACTTCTTTAAATGAAAGAGCCGATATTTAGTCAAGATCACGAGTCCATTTCTTTGAATGAATTGGCAAACATTTCAACAGGATCTCCCTGCTCCCTAGGTAGTAAAGGAGTTAAAGATGGCCCAAGATGGAAGCCAAGCAACTAGTATGTAATGGAGACAGTCTATATGACACCCTTCTGGAGCTAATCACACAGATTGGCAATGAAAACAAGCCAGGTTCATATGTCGACTAGCCCCGGGACAACTTCACCATCTTTTAATTCGACGCCGCCGCCGAGTCAGTGAGGGAGGGAAAGAGGGACAAGGTTGCACCCTACGGATTAGCGCCACCATATCAACATCTACGATTACGAAGTGCGATAGGGTAGATTGCTGGTTCGGGAGGAGAGGGCAGGAAAATAATAAGCTAGGCTTCTTATGCTTGTAAAACACAGCAATGATGTAGTATGCTAATCCCTCGTTTGGAAAGATAACTTTCCACCGCCCATTGAAATTTGTAGTTGTAGAACAGTTAAGTGAAGGTAGGTTGTCTTTCATTGCAAGTAATTTTTTCCCCCCTTTATTTTTCAGAAGTATTAAGAAATATGTATATAAATAAACATTAATAGTGAATTTGAAAGTTGTAAAATTACCTCAATGTGAATTATAAAATATAATTACAACCTACCATAAAACATGATTTTTTTCATAACCTTATGTTTTCACAACCTGCTGTTTAGACTACTGACATGTATTCATAAATCATGAAAACCATTAAATGTATACCAATTGCATTCCGCTATATAATGGGATACGTTGATCTATTGACAATATACCATTTCTACGTTGAAGTACAACATCTTTGAATTGAAAATGAATGGTTAAAATCTTGTCCCCATCTTTCTCACTGTAGACTCGACCAGTATAGCAAACATAAGTAGCCAGATGTTCCAAGCCATTATTCTGTTCAGTGATATCAATTTGTTACACAGTCAAATCAGCAACAGACTACTGGGTCCGAGTGGCCATATGTCGTATCTCATTCATCATCGGATGGCCCTTGATATACGGGTCAGCCATCCCCATTATCCACAGCACTGCACATTGCCAGGATCCCCCATTATCCATAGTATATCGACGCTATGAGATTGTATCCTCTGTTATGGAAGCAGAAGGGGTTAACTCACGTACTTTAACACAGAGTTAAGGCCCTTTTGGCTCTGAACAGATATGAGCTTACCCATCTAACGTCCCATCACAGTGATTCTCACTGGGGGGTAGCGAGCATCTCTGTAGCACCTTCCACAGCAGATCTTCATTCTGAAGCTCTGTCTGCGTCCCTACGCTGCACACTGTCCTCTCCAAGGGGCTGGGCACACTCCCTTGACCGTTGGGCGTGGTGCTCCCGTTCTTGGCCGTGCAGGCTGACCGTCTCATGACCTGGACAATGATGGGTTCCTGGGCATTCTTGAAGGCTTCCACCGCTTCCTCGTGAGTGGCTTTGGACAGGTCTTGACCATTAACCTGAAAGATACAAAACAAAGGAAATAAGATTAAAATACTTGAAATATATAATTAAAACAAAAAAAGTAATTCATACATTTTCTTGCATCCTATCTATATGACACATCAATAATGTATTTTATCCAGAGCAGAAACCTACTTACCTACACATGTTTTTGTGACATTCATAAAAACACTACAAGAAACTGAAACATACATTGCAAAGTAGTATTTACACAAACCACAAAATTCTGCTGAAAGTTGTTACATGTCGCAGCAATTGCGCAATCCTTTCAGCCCCAAACCAAAAAGTCTTATGCAAGGGTAAAATTCCTTTCTCCGCAGATGTGTATATGGATATTTGATAAGAATTCTATGAATCCAATATCATGCCCCTGACATTTGAGTCTCAAACTTTGATCTTGAAACTGTACGATTGCTTCACTAAACCAAATGAAATAGAAGATACCAACGTATATCATAAAATTCATATATTCCTTCTAATCAAGTAGAAAACTCACTCCCACTCCAATATTTACTGGGCTTCCTCATCTACTATTCATTATTCCACATATCAAAGTTTCATTTTATTTCAAGCAGGTTGACAAATCTCTTCCTTGAAAATCTTAAAAAGCTTGTGTAATCTCTGACCCAGGTTTACAGTAATCCCACGTGGGGCTTGCTTGACAAATGATGGAGAGGCATAACAAAAATTGATTCGATAAAAATATCACTTCGAGACACTTGAATAAGTCCTAAGGCTTATAAAACAAAGTTCAATTTAAACAAGTTCAGACCAACTGAGAGACAAGTGCACTGCTTAAGAACTAGAGTGACCTTGCCATATTTTCCAGAGAGTGAATTTCATAAATATATTAATACTGGTCAGTAAACCTAGGGAGGCCAAAATCGAGAAAGGGGCAAACAAATCTAAAGGGACAAACAAATCTTGAAAACAATAACAAAATAGTATCCATAAATAAATATGACTGGTACATGTAAAAAAAAAAATAGAACAAAAATTACAAATATTCACACCTCACTGAAATAAACAGTGGGACAGATTGCCAAATGAAAATACTTCACGTTTAGCTACAAATATTACGGGGGAAAATCCTGACACTATTTTCTAGAGGATCAGCACAAATTCACTAACCATGAAGGATATATCTACAAGTTTGTACACAAAACCGTTTGACAGATAAACGTAACCACGCCATGAAGCAGGAGAAAAAAATAATAAATAAAAAACATTGTGAAGCTGCGATTGAAACCAACTTAAAGTGTCTTTCACCGACATAATCCTTGTGTTGACATAACTACAATGATCTTGCCATGTTCTACATCAGACCGAATCCCTTGAGGATTCCATGACAACAGACTTCTGAAGGAGAACCATAGAATGTAACCCAAATGAAAATATGGAAATTTGCTGCTTCACTGCAGGTAAAAATCATTCTTTTGTCACAGTCCCAGATATAAGCTTTCCAAGGGGGATGTATTGATCTACAATTGTATGGCATGACCTCAGTATACCCATGACCTCTATTCAATGGGATGTCTGTTAGTTTTACAGCATAGCGAGCTGTTATCAAATATCTATAGATACACAGATGACCTAAAATAAATTGCCAACCTAACCAAATATGAAATGAAAATAAAGCAATATTGAGAGTAAACTAACTCAATGAAAGTCTCATACAGCAAATATTGACTACAGACGATGTATTTAATTTTATATTACAATACCCAGTTTTTTTTCTTGAAGAAGTATTCCATACAAAGCATTATTAAACAAAATATTTGGATGTGATTTATTTGGCTAGAAGCAGTAATAGTAGAATAATACGTGTTTTTAATTTGAAAATATACATAACAATGCTTCATAATATTATGACAACAATCCAGGCAGTAGCAATACTCTATAAGACTATAGATATTTGCTCGACCGATGGTAACAGGAGGGTTAAACAACTCTGACACTATGGTATTGAACAGACAGTCCAATAAAGATTGTATACAAAATGCATTAAGAATTCATCCCCGCTAACAGCGGCCGAAAAATCAATTCAATTATTACAAGCATTTTCAAGCTTGATGCAACTATTGATTCTGTTCTCTTATCTCGCAAGTGATATGGGGAAATTAGAAGATGTGCTCAATTCAGGGGAAATAATGAGATATGAATCATGCTAGCTGGCTTAAAGGACAGCTTAGGTTGTATGGCATTGTGAAAGTCTTCTGATAAGCACAATACATGTACATCTAAACATCCTTATGAAATACACATCACATTGTGGTCATTACATGAATATGTTATTACACAATGCAACATATTCACATAAATATTTTCCAACACGTGAATCTCCTTTAGATCATAACATGTCAAGTTATTTGCAACTGTTTTCATCAATCTTCTTTCAACTGTACCAGATTTTTTAATATATAAATAAGTACAATACGTTTGATGTTCAGTTTGCCTACATTTAGAATGGCTAATGGCACCTGAAATTAAGAAAGGCTGCCACCATACATTCCCATACACCCATCTCGATGAAAGAACGTTCCTCCTTTAATACCTCTCCCCTACCCCTGTTCTTCCGTGCCTTCACCAATGAATAAATTATCAGATGAGGGATCGCTGTTTTTGTTTGAAACCATCCGACTACAATCACTACCGCTACCATACCAGTACAGTAGGTCTGACAAAGCTCGCTGAAGGAGAAGGTTTTTATGTCTGATTACCCGCCAGACAAACTCACTAATAACGGGTCTTTACCAGATTTCTATTTCACCCCTCATTGGAAGTTTACTTGACAAGGGGTGACCTCTGAAGTGCAAAGAATATTTACAAATATTTTGGGGAATTTAAAAATCCATGTCTCACCTTTTCTGTTGTTTTCGCGATAAAATCTACTTTGAGGCTTTTATAAATAATTATTTTGCCTTTATTGCTACATTTCTCAAGCGTTATTTCCTGAAAAATACTAAGCTGTAATGCAATTTTGATCATTAACATTACCATTCATTTTGTGTGTGATGTAATTTTAAATTATAAAACAAAATTGAGGTGGGTAGGCAGCAATGAGTGAAGATGACTTTTATTTCAATGATTGTAACAAATTTCATATTTATGCTGTGTATATACCAAGTGAATAATGATAACTTTATCAATGGTAGATGAATTTCATTAGAATAAATTCTTATATTATACAAAATATATTCGTTTACTGCCGAGTACGTACATCTGTAACCTCAAGCCTATCTCCTGAAGATATGAAGTGCGCTAACTTCCTCCCACATCATATCAAATCCAGCATGGCAATAAGATTGAGAATCTCTACCAAATCATCACAAGGTATGTTGAGTTGATAAACATGACTACAGGCAAGGCCAGGCATGTATGGTGGTATTCATTAGAATCACTGAATGTTTGTATCATCTTGGGACTGAGTGAGGTATATCCCACGTGCCTTTCCATCAGGTGCCGGAGAGAGGGTTAGGTGAGTAGTTATCCTGGTGGTTGGAAGATGGAGTATGAGTCTTCATTCTCAGACATCTTTATGTTACCTTTACAACGAATACTCAAAAGTACAGCTCTCAGATATCCATCACTAGGAGAACAAATAAGCAGTGTTTCTTAAATCTTACCCTGTTAAATGTTCAACTAGAATTGATTATGGATGAAAAAAAAACCATTGGAAATTAAACATTATCCATGGGTTCTAAAATGATCTGAAATTCAAATTAGACAATATGTGGCAGTTATTTTGTTAAGGGTAATTGTAGTGGCAAACTACTTACGTTTTTTCATGAACAAATTATACAAAACCTCAAGGGCAAAGCCAGGCAATAAAAGCTATTACAATGGTTGGCTGAGAAAGCATTATAGCTTGGATCCCACTGAAATTCACAAGGGCTTGTGAAAACAATTGTAAGAAATTCAAAGCCTTATTACATCTATCCAAGGGAATGAAAAAATCTGATATCTAGTAATGAAATGTTCTGAGGCTCGCATAACCTACGCTTTTAGAAACAACACAAGAAATAGGTACATATAAACAGTCTCAGGATAGAGACTAGGGAGAGCCTGTGCAGAGGGGGAGAGAGGCTGGCATAATCATTGTAGAGTGTCTCAGAAGCGGGCAAACTTGCCGACATTTTCCGCTAATGACGCGGATGAGCTTGAGGTAATGAATGAATGCTTTTTGCAGTCTGCCGTGTTATGATCATTAATAATGTTTGGTTGGTTGAGAAGGATACGTAGCACAGAGAGGATACAAGCAAGCATGGGTGGATACAAGAAGCATATAGGCCAGTCAGTGGTGTGTGTGAAAAGTTCAGGTCTATATATTAAACAGGCAATATGATCTTGTTCCTATTTTGATCTCAAAGATTTCCCCAAAATACAAAATGACCTAAGCACAAGATGTAATGATATAGCAGCACAGCAAATACAAAAAAAAAAGAACAAAAAAAATTATTGTCACTTTTTCTTTTAGCATTAGAGTACATAATCTTTTTTTTGACCCCCCTCCCCCATAATATATTTCTTGTATTATCAAAAGCATCACTGACATTTTTCTGACCACGTTCAATACCATAAACATCATTTATATTCAAAACAATTAGCCTAAATTGCAATATGAATTTTGCATTCGACTTTTTTTCTTTTTGCATTCAAGGCCTGCAGGCCCTACATCAAACGATCATTTGTATTGCTGTAGCATCCCTGACCAAGTACGCAAAGCCCCCCTGGGGAGTGTTCAGAGAATTACTATGGTTCTAAATGAAATATTAGATCATGGATTGAGAATTCATAACAACAATAAAGGTCTGACTTTGATGGGGACGATTTCCTTGACTGCAATTCCCAGTAATGATCTACTTTCTATGCATGGCATACTTGAAAAGTTAGCTACTGTACTTTTTGAAGTGTCTTAATCTTGCGCATTACGAAAATAGAAACAGAGGAATTTACGACCCCCTTGTACTTGTTTGGTCTGGGTGACCCCTAAAGT